ATGAAAGTCTGCAAGGCGGCAATTAACCCTTTTATTATATCCATTTTGAAATCACTGGTGATCCCTACAATCTGATTTTCTCTCAGCAATGTGATTTATTGACGAATCACACTATTTTTTGCTCTAAATCAAGTCTGTTCTAAATCGCGTCATTCATGTTCTAAATCGCATCATTTCTGTTTTTAATTGCACCGTTTTCACTCTATATCGAATCATTTCTTTACATTTCTTTACAGTTGCTGTTGTAGGTAACAATGGAGTGGGCAAAAGTACATTCTTGAAGCTTTTAATTGGTCAGCTTGAACCGGTGAGTGACTCAGTAACCAAACGACTGCGGACTAAGTTAATTGCATTGCTTTCAGAGCTGTATATCGGCTTCGTTTTTCTCTGTGGGCAGATTTGGCAAAAACAAAGCGACGTCAAATGAGAACTGCGAAAACGCTTTGAAAGGACTGAACACGACTTTCGTTGTTCACTTTGCCGCTTTAATAATAATAACAATAATAATAAAAATAGTAATCTTGTAAAAACCTATACACAAAAGAAAAAAAAAAGCAGGAGGGTAATTATAGTTCTTTGCCATATACATACATGAAATTCTCAAACTAAAAGCATAGGAGTTAGTTGAAAAATAAATATATATAAATTCATTGTAAAACATGTGCATGACAAAACCATCCATTATGCCTAGTAGCCTCTATCAGCCTCCATATTAGTAATAATAGTAGTAGTAAAAAATAATATTAATAATGATAATAATAATTTGTTTCTTATATTGCGCAAATTACACTGATGTTTATATGATCAAATGGCACCTGCTGTTGTTTAAGTCCCGAGAGTGACTAACATCAATTTTCTCCCAACAATACTGAGATTTGTACATAATCAAAAGGGTTACTAGAATTAATAAAATGATCACCAAAGTGTCTTTGTCTTTGCTAAATCTGCCTAGGGTCTTACACTACGAACCTTGAATAGAGTTTTGTTAAATCAGTGATCTTCAAATTCAGGCAGCGGATCGCCCTAAAAAATCTGAAACGGGAATCTTGTCCAACTCTCGCTGTTTTTGTTTGTTTGTTTTTCTTCCAGCTTAAAGGTGACTCGGTACGGAATCACAGACTTGTAAGTAGAATAGTTATGATTTTTCTACCACATATTCTTAATAAATACTCTATAGATTGATAGCCTCATGAGTATCAAAAAACAGCTCTTATTGCTTTATAACAAAGGAAGCACAAAAACCTGACAACTAGCCTGCGAGCAAAAAAACTATGAACCGTTTGATTATAACCATTTCACTGGAATCTTTCCATCAAAGTGCTGCTTTGTTTTGTTTTTAATGTTTTCGTATTTGTCTTATTTCTTTACAGCGTATAGGCTCGTATAACCAGCATTCTGCTGACCAGGTAATTTTTTATGTTCTCAGTTTTTGTCAATAAAGCTTTTTGACAAAAAAAAAATTTTAAACGTCATTACCTGTTATCCTGTATTTGTAGCTGAACATGGAAGAGTCACCAGTGGAGTATCTTCAGGTAAATAATTTTGCTTATGTCTGTCCGTTGGTTTAAGTGTTCTCGCGTAATTTTAGTTGATAATTAAATAGCATGGACTTCAAAATAAAATGAGACGTTCAGCCTCCAATCGAAATCAGCCGTCCAGTTGCTTTTGGTTTGTATTGCTACGCCTTCTGATCAGCTTTATTTGAAGTACAGGCATAGACAACAACCGTGGCATATTGGGTTTTCCGCGCATAGACTTGCCTGAAAATATGATTGGTCGATCGGGTGGTTGTGTCTGCTGTGATTGGCTACACTCACCGCTTGAGTTTTTAAACGAAACTCAATTCAAAAACCCGCGTTTTATGTTAAATTGTTGTAGAAAAGTATTTTTTTGCTCTCAGTGGTTTTCGAATGAAGTACACCGGCGAATATCCATGCCGAACTTGTTTCTTGGAAAACCTCCTGAGTCTCTTAAAGACGCCATTTTGATTTGTGTCAAGGGAGACTGGAAACAAGCAATTTGAAAATTTTAACCGTGCTAACACGACTGCTAATATAACACTATATCGCCTGCCGATTGCCGACTTACCAGAAAATAATTCTAATTCTAATACCATCATGCTGTCGTTTTAAAGAGGTACTTGTATTAATGTTGTTAATCTCTTTAACGTTCTTAGAGGAAATATAACTTGGATTATCAAACATCTAGGAAACACCTCGGAAGGTTTGGGTTAGTGAGTCACGCTCACACCATCAGAACTAAAGATTTATCAGGTAATTCACCATCAGGGTCGAAATGAAACTTAAGCAATCTTCTTAACTTCCTCGGGAATTCTTCTTTTTTTGTTATAAAGCCTATTACACTTCTGTCATTCTCCACTGAAAGTGAATATCTAATTTTCTATTTTCAATTAGATATTTCTGTCACAAGGAAAAAACGTTTAATACGCATGCTTTTTTCTCAGGCGGTCAGAAGTCACGTGTAGCTTTTGCCGATCTGGCGCTCAGCAACCCAGATGTAATTGTACTGGTGAGTATTTTGACCAGAAAAACTTTGCAGAATGATTCACTGCAACTAAATGATCTTAATTAACGATCCGGGTAATACGGAAAGCAATTCAGTTCTTTTGTTTTGGCGCAATACACGTTCCTCGCTTAAGAATATTTTGTTTTTCACGTAGAGAATGCATAAAACTTCAAAAAGGCAGTTTACGATATAGAATGTCTTTAAACTCCCTTTTTAAGGGTGTTTTTTTGTGTTAAAAGAGTTCGACCAATCATTAGAGTTGCGAGCAATAGCCAATAAATGTTTACAATTTCACATGTTCCTTACATAGGTTTTCTGTGTTACTTAGACTCAGACGAGATTTTGTGCTAAGGAAGTTGGTTAGAAAACAAAGGATTAATATACATGCTGCTTTGCGAAGATCGTCATCAGTATGGAATTTCAACAGTCTCTGCCCAGACGTCATTTCTCGGAGAAACCGGTGATGGCGTCGCGAAATGTCGGTTGTTTTCTCAGGCTTAAGTGTTTCTTACCCAAAAATATCGGATCAATTTAGGTTTGTGATAAACTGCCCACCTACCCCTTCCCTTAGCCAACATTTTGCCCTAAGTGAGAAGTGAGTGTTAATGTTAGCTTAGGGGAGGGGTAAGTGGGCAGTTTCCAAGAAGTCTAACTGGCTTACTTTGCAGAAACATAATCATTCACTGGAAGTAAATAATGTTCAATGGCTTTGCGTCAAGCTGAAGCGTTTTATATTTTTCCTTCAGGATGAACCCACCAACAACTTGGACATCGAATCTATTGATGCACTGGCTGACGCCATAAACGAATTTACTGGGGGTAAGAGTAGAATATGAGTGTGATCTTTTAGTGTTTTAAAAAATAAAATATGAATAAAAATATGTCCACCACTGCTCTAGTTCTCAAACCTCAAGTGCTTGAGGCCTTATTTGCATTGTCGTGTTGCTCGCTCCGCCAGCGAAAATCGTCAGAAATATGCCCTGAGCTCAAGGCTTGTGGAACGAATCTAGACGGGTGGCGTTGGGGTGGTGAAACACCCTGAAATGTATTTGTCATTTCATCTACAAAAATTAACACAGTAGAATCTCCAAGTGCGACCACCTCTCTCTCGGTGTTCTTTGGGCACCGGAGATCGGAGAATTCTCAGTTTAGGTTAACGTTAGTTAGCCTAAGTTAGACGTGGAGTCTCTATAAAAATATTCCTCCGCCTGTAGCGGTACACCTTTCTTCCGCTACTAGAATTCTTAAAGAAAACTCCGCTCTCGTAGGCGACCACCTTCCATAAGTGACCATCTTTCCAAAACACCAAATTTTCTCAGTCAAAGTCCTGTAGTTAGAACGTGTCATGAACTAACACCTCTCATAAGCCGGCCACCACGACTACGAAAAAAGCGGCGATTTTGTTACAAATAGTGACGGTGCGTTCTCAGACTCGTCTTGTGAAAAGTCATGAGTCCCAGTCCAGAACCAGTGAGTCCCATTTAAAAAAAAGAGTTCTAAATTGAAGAAATATACACCGTTAAATACAACCATAATAACGGTCTCAAAAATCACACCAACAGGATAAACCCCCAACCTTAAGGAATGAAGGCTGGCATGAGGTAATATTCGTAGAAGTTTGTTATAGGGTTTTTGTTCTGGCTTTTTCATTTTTATCAGGAGTGATATTGGTAAGCCACGATGCGCGGCTTATACTGGAAACAGCGTGTCAACTTTGGGTTGTTGAGAACCAAGACATTTCTGAAGTGGATGGAGATTTTGACGATTACAGGCAAGAAATTTTAGAGAAACTTGGAGAGGAAGTCATCGCCAAGTCGCAATGATACTCAAGGCAACTGAATCAGTAGCAAAACCATTAGAGGTAATGGCTCATGTTAAAAAGTCTGCGTCTTAGCAGTCCACTTCATTTTGTTTAGTATTACCCCGGCAAACTTGCGGTTAGCGTTGAAATTAGTTGTAAATGGCAAATTCAGTGTCATTTCAAACAAACGTCTCCCGAGCGATGTATTTGAAGCTACAAACAACAAGACTAGAGATGAAATTAGAAAAACTGTAAGGCTAAACAGTTTTCAAATGCGTTTGCAATTCATTTTAGTCTTCTTCAATTTTGCCCATCCATGCCTTCTCTTATGTTCAGTTTGCTTTGTTATTTTTCCTTTTTTAATTTTTTTAATTTTTCGTTTCTTGTAGTTGTGGACCAAACATGAATGACAAATTGTGCTATTTACTTGCACCAGCCTGGTCTGAGTAAATTGCTCCGCGGAAGAAGTAACACCTTCGCTGTTAAACCAGAGAGGTCCTCACCTTTTATGTTGAGAGACTTTCTCCGTTGCTGACTCTGACATTAAACACCGAATTAAATTGTGAACATGGTTATCACAAACCTAACATAAATGCAGAATTCAAGTGGAGACCCATTTTGATGAGAAAAATAATTTCAGATGTAGGATTTTATTCACCAATACAAGCTTCACTTCTGTATATGTGTTATTAGTATCCTCACTTGACGTTCTGATGGACGCTGATAGTATATGAACCCTTCATTGCCACAAAGTTCGACACGGGATGGGATTCTTAAGTGATTGGAATACCTGCAGCATTCTAATTCCCTCCACTCCGTGTAATGCTGTGCGGCGTTAAACGAGATGCGCAAATCATGTGAAACAATTTTCCATTTAATGACCACATCTATGTGTTGTTGTAGGTTTTCCCCTTTGATGGTTTAAACTCGAACGACCAAAAAACAAATCCAGCTAGTGGTCAGGGCGGGGTTTGAACCCCCTATGGCTGAATTGCGACTTCGATGCGCTGACCACTCGACCGCGCTGTCCTCTTACCCGTCGGATTATTTATGAAATGTTGCAGAGTATTTTCCACTAGCTTTCTGGCTTGCCTACTTTTTCGTAAATTTTAAAATATAGTGCGCGCCTTTTATGTTAGCAGTTGAAAGTTTATAAAAATGGAATAGATATTTAATTAAAACTATTGTTTGCTTTTTGACTCTGAGGATTTAAATAACTTTTTGTTCATATTTTCAGGATGGTGGTGTCTAAAAAAACTTTCAACTTATCAGAAGTAAAATCAAAATCAAAATGAATTACCAACAAGCGTTTTCTCACGTGATCGTGTTATTACCGATTGATCCGGGAAAACTGAAACATAGGAAAACGCGTGNCCCCCCCCCCCCCCCCCCCGCCCGGGATTGGATGCGGGCACCCATATATATACACCTCGATGAAGAGACAAAATGGAGTGAAGTTTCTTGGGTAAAGCAACAAAGCGATGGCAATGCTCAACCCAGACCTAAATAAGTAAATATCGAGTTAAAGTAAGAGGAAGCACATCCACATAGTAGTTCGTCGTCTACCTTTCTTTGGAGAAATTAGAAATTCTGGAAATTGGAAATGTCAGTGGGTTTTGAAGAGAGGGGAAGAGTGAAGTGCCCGGAGAAAAATCTCTTGGAGCAAAGGAGAGAACCAACATCAAACTCAACCCACATATGACGTCGACGGCGGGATTTGAACCCGGGCCGCATTGGTGGGAGGCGAGTGCTCTCACCACTGCACTTGCTCCCCGAAGACCTACAGAGTGTGAAGTGTTAACGACTCGGCCACGCCTCCAAAGAAGGGGGTAATTTCACCAATTAAATCATTAAAATCTTAATTAATAACTAAATCATAAAGCGTAGCCACGAAGCAACCAAAAATTTCCTTCTCCACAAACGTCGCGAAAAAGTGCAATAAATGATGAGCAGCGAGAAACCACCTTACGATATTCTCCTTGTGAAAAAAGCTCCTCTTGAAGCCCGTATAGACATTTGAAATGTAAATTTCTGAGTAAAATAACGAAAAAAAATTTGGCCACAAGAAAAAAGGTGTTTTAGTAGCTTAGTAAAAATAAGTTCTGCTTGATAGTCTTTATCCTATACGGTAGCCTGCGAAAACAGCCGTTTCTCCTCGCTCTTCGCCGCTGGGGACGTTTCGCGGGGTGAAACATCCCCAACGGCGATGAGCGAGGAGAAACGGATGTCAGTTTTCGCAGGCTACTTATACGGCCTTATAATGATTTCTGTCCGGCAATTTATATTAAAAACAAGGAGTACCAACGTAACAAATAGTACCATAAAGAAGTTAGTGCTGAATAGATTTTGTACATATTACCAATAATACTGCTGTAGAATCCTTCAGGATTTTGTCAATTCCAAAGAACTTTGATTCCATCTGTCACACTACTAGTTAGACCGAGTTGGAAATTCCTCAATTCAAACCGTTTGGTTTAGCTGGTGTACCAAATTAAGTGTTTTAGAAGACAATTTTCCGCCCAACTTGACTAGTAATTTGTTGCACTGTTGTGAGACACGTTGCATACGCCTTGTTCAACACCCCCTAAAACGAGTATTCGTTTACGTTGCAACAATCGCTGTGAAAATAAAGCTTGATTCTATTTCGTTCCAAACTTCTTTTCAGAGGTGTTAAAATAACGGACAATTTTCCACTTGCCTATGTCGCTAGAAAATTTGCTAGACACTATGCCGCAACAAAAATTGTCAATTGTAACTGACAGGGCCTTGAAGTAAGGTCGAAACCTCTGCTATAGGTCACTTTTTTGACGAACAGTCCATGCATTGTCTCTCGTTTAAACCTGTTTACAACAGCCACTTTTTTTTCTTTCAAAGGTGACCGTTGTGGAGAGGTTAAACTGTACTTTGTGCGCTACTGAGTATATCCGTTTACTGGGCGTTTTTCAGGAGCAAAAAGTGCAACAGGTGGTTCGCGTATTCTTTGTCACATCTCAACAGGTACTGTGGGCCGAGACAAGACATGAAGTTAGATCATCTCTCAACTGTATATACAAACTTACAGCATAGCGGCAATCGCCGTAGTTTTCATCTCTTTCTAACGCGTCAAAATGTCTCGCGAATCACTGCAAGAACATGGTGGATGTCGAATTGGAGGCTTACCTCGGATCCAATGCATGAGTTGTGAGTTAATAATCTACTATTGACCTTTCAGTGCTCGCATGATTGAAACTTGCAGCTAGTCTCGCCTTTTGGAGCTTAGAGAGCTTCATATTCAGATCTGTCGATTTAGAAATTCCTTTTTACGTGTACTATTATTTGCCAAGGGAGGATAGAGGGTTTTCTTCCCAGCATTTACATACTGCAGTTTTATTGACTGGAACAATTGTGTTTAGAAATCAGTTCTACGCTATCGTGGTTTTATTTAAGCCTTTCTCCACAGTTCAATGTTTATTAACTGTTTGCACTGAATGCTTGTCATAATATTTGACATGGAAAGGAAAACTACCTTTGGATTTTCACAGAGCTCACTTCGACATCTGTGTAGAATAAATAGTCAAAAAAAAGTAGTGTTAAAATAGAGGAGAGAAAATAGCATGAAGAAACCTACGCGACATGAAAACAAAACAACCAATCAGGGACGTCACTATCAAACTAAGAGTAATCGCAGTATTGTATTATAGAGGGGCTTTAATAATGATATTTTCCAAGAGACCACAAGGAGTATGTTATCGGGCTGGAGTTAAATATCAATAGTAGAGCAGCTTACTTGCAAGAAGTTAGGTTTTGTATAATTTCAATAATATTATTGCTTGTGCTGGGAGTGATATGTTGGAACAGCTGGGTCTAGGTTTTAAACTTGTTTTTGAGGTAGTTATAATATTGGCTTGTGGAGAATTAAACGTTTGATAAGGGAAAAGTGAACTTTTATACTTCCGAATTTCAATGGTCAGAATCGATCTTTAACTTTAATTTTTTACTATCAGTATTTCCGGATAGTTTGACAGGGGCAAGGAAATACAATATTTATGTTTTGCTAAAATTGATTTGTTTAAGAAAGAATCTGGCACACCCGTTTTGCAACGCGCTTGTCTACGATTGTTACTCCTCATACTGAATAACTGAATAAACGCCAAACCCTTCTATATTTGTTCTCAATCTTGCAAGATTATTTCGCTGCAAATGTCATAAAAGAGCAGTATGAGGTGCCCTTATCTTAGTCATTCTTAAGCTGGCGCAAATCTAACAATTCCATAGCTGTAATAACATAATTTTGTTTTACTTTGTAAGATACTCGCGTATTTCCGTAAGATCTCAATGACGAGAATCATAGATTGACAAATACTAATCTATTTCTTTTTAAAAAAAGAAAATTCTTATGAAAAAAAAAATGTTTACGCATGATATTGAAGTTAGTGCAACGAATTTGGGTGGAGTCCGTGATACCTGTCTCTCACCTGCCATTTGTTTATGTTTCAGCAAGTCAGCCCGAGGGTGGTGAACTGGGCATATGTGGAATCGTCATAACGGTTTTGTGTTACATTCTTGTAGTCATCACATTCCCATTTTCACTGTTCTTTTGTTTGAAGGTAAGCAAGCGGAAAGCACTAGATTGCATCGACCTAAACGAGATTCAGTGATCACTGGTTATAGTGAAATCATGGGTTTGGCATGGGTGCTCATTCTTGCGGGCTCACAGTCGACGCATCTGAAACTTTTCTTTATCAAAGTATGGCTCAATGCAATGGGTTAGCATTTTAAGAGACTTTGATTGCGGTTGGGATAAGAATTTAGATTGAGGTGCGCGTGGTGTCGTGGGATGGAACGAAACCAGGAAAAGTAGATACTTCCTTATTTTTCCTGCTTCTCTTCCCATAATTCCCTAGGTGCCACTTTACACAGCTAATAACGACAGGTTACAAGTCTGTAATCGTAAACAGATCAGATTCAGTTACGAGGGAGCTCTGTTGTGAGATCGTAGACGAAAACTATCTGGTTTCTTTCGGGCCAATGAAATTGAAGGCAATTCTATTTATAAACATGTGAAAAAGAACGAAATTAAGTTCCGACTTTTCGCCGACATCACGACGCAATTTTCAAGGAATGGAAATAAATGCGAGTTCAAATGGAGTTAAAGTACTCAGTTGCATGAATGAACAGAGTTAGTTATTTTTTACATCTTTACGTTTCTCCAAATCATTATTAATAATATAAGATATCTATTTATCTACCGTTAAAAAAGGCTATTTTAATCAAACAAGCAAATGAGCAACACTTACTTTTTGACCTTCAATGCCGATGGGTTTTTAACTTTCACTAAGATAAACTGTCAGTATGTATTTTTTAGAAAAATAGCATAATGCGAGCAACTTACATCCTAGTTCAACGAGACCTCACCAAGAAGCAATATTTGTAAGCTAAGTGACGTTTATTAAGGAAGTACTTGAGACTTATTTTTTATTTTAACCAGATAGTGCAAGAATACGAAAGAGCCGTAATATTCAGACTAGGAAGAATTCTCCCCGGCGGGGCCCGGGGACCAGGTGAGAAAAACAACAAAAAAAACAGCACTCGTTAGCAAAGGACCCTGGCTTCCAAAGCGGTCGGGGACTGAGCACAAGAACTTCTGATTCTCGCTAATAAACTGACTTCGTTTTATAAGGTCCGGAATGAATATATAACACTTGGCTAACCTTAGCATTTCGTAATTGTTTTACTTTAAAAACAAACAAACTAACTAAACAAAACTACCCAAAGGTTTTGTTTTTATTGTTTTACTTGAACTTTGTAAATATTTTGGCCAGGTTTATTTTTCGTCCTTCCCGCAATTGATAAGTACAGCAAGGTGGACCTACGAACTATATCCTTTGATGTTCCACCTCAGGAGGTACACATTTTCATTTTTATATATACATAATTCTTGAATTAATTACTTTTTTTCCACAGGGCTTTTATGGCTGTCTAAATGTGCTAAGTTAAAAACTTCCTTTGCTTTCACGAATTCCAATCGTACCAGAGGAGCACGCTATTTCCCTTCCCTCATTTGTGGTGCGATGACAATAATACGCCGAACATGCGCACCATCTCGCAATTTAGAGCTCTTATTAAAATATAGCATAGCGGCTTGATTTAGCCTGTGCCAGGCCCTCCCTGACTTCTACTCGGCTTTCGTTCAATTGTTCTCGTTCCTGGAACAGGTTAAGCACGATTCTTCTCTTGGTTATCTGAAACCAAAACATTTTTCGACTATCTAAAAGCACTTTCTTGTTCTCACAACCTCTCTACTGAATGAAGCTTTGCCTTGAAAACTTAACTAAGTTTTGTGTTTCAGTTATCAACTTATCTTGATTCAAAATTAACTTAAAGTATCTTATTAGCTAATTTCTCATCATAAAGTTCTTTCAATTGATTGGCTAGGCTCTGACACGTGACAGCGTGACAGTTACTGTTGATGCAGTGGTATATTTTAGGATCCAGAATGCCACGGTGTCAGTGACCAACGTTGAAGATGCACGAGGTTCCACCAAACTGCTTGCCCAGACTTCTTTGCGAAACATGATAGGCACAAGGAATCTCAGCGATATCTTAATGGACAGGGAGGGGCTGAGTGCGCAAATGCAGGTAAACAAATGCAGTTTATTTTCTCTTACCGTGGCTGCTATTTCAGCTGATATCTTAATAAATAGATAAAGTTGTTCAAACGGGGAAAGCCTGAATAGAGATGGCCATGGCTGTAATAAACCAAAGCGATCACAAATATGCTACTACGGCCAAACATTTAATCTGATCACAAAAAAGATTATCGAACGCAGAATACTGCGTTTAAACTGTCAAAAAGCAGTAGAAATTGAAAAAAATCCTTCATGTCTAATTAGGAGCATGCATTGACGGAGTTGCTTTGTGAAAAGAGTTGGATTACCAGGCGTGAAACCAAACGACAAACGACAAACGACGTGCGAGCTCTTTACCTATATTGAGTGACCTTAAAATATTTGAAAGCAAAATAAGAAAAGACAAAAAGGGGCCTCAGAAAAAACCATAACTTGCGTAAAAAATTGTTATTTGATATTTTCGTCTCATATGTTTGTATCCTTAGTCATTCCTTGATGACGCCACTGATCCCTGGGGTGTCCGCGTGGAAAGAGTAGAGATGTGAGTGTCGCTTCTTATGAGGTCATGGACAACAACAACAATAGACTACGAGTAGTCCCCCATTTTTCCTCAGGGATAGTAGAGCGAGCAAAATGCGAGCGCGCGTGAAAACCAACCCACGCGAGAAAAGGCGACACGCGGCGGAAGAGAGAAAAATTCCGCCGCGTGTCGCCTTTTCTCGCGTGGGTTGGTTTTCACGCGCGCTCGCATTTTGCTCGCTCTACTATCCC